AGGAGAAGGAGAGAAGAGCGGGAGATAGGAGAAAGAGTTTAGATTGGCGCTGTTTGGGACAAATTGGGATTAGGGTTTCAATTTCTTCCCTCCCCCTTTCTGTTTGTTTCCGGACGGGGTTTGGGTCCGGTGGATTCACAACCACCGACCCAACCATTTTTTTTTCTTTCTGTTTTTTAGTTTTTTTATTTTGTATTGTGTAATGGGCCTGACCCAATATATTTAATAAAAACTAACAAAAAAACATAAAATATAAAAACTAATAAAAAGATAATAAATATTTAGAGATAGGTTTTATTAAAATAATTTAATTTTTAATTTAAAATAATATATTTAAAAATAAAAAAAAAAGGTGTAGAAATTAGTTTTTATTAAGGTTTAATCTAAATTTTTTTAATTAAAATATAACAAAATCAACAAAAATAATTTTTTTATTTAGAATTTAAATAATTTAATTCTCTTCATAATTTATTTAATAATTTAAATATTTGAGTTAGTTACATTTAATTGGAATTAATTTAGAACTTTGTTTTCTTTTTCTAGAATTTAATTATTTAGAAACTTTTTTTCTTTAATTAATTAATCTTACTTTAATTTTCCGTCTGATTTATTTTTAACAAAAATAAAAACAATTAGGTTTTTTTTTTGGTTTAGACCTCTTCACCAATTATTTGTCAATTTAATTAATCAATTTCACTGATACAAATTCATAAATCATCTCGTTATTTCATTTCAAACATAACCTTCGACACTTTACTCTTATAGCTTGATTTAGCATATCCATATAATTTCTTTACTATTCTACAGCATTTGTATATTCGCTTTTATCTACTGCTACACTGCACACGTCCAAGGGAAGAACTTGCGCATGACTTCATAAGTCGTGCGTATTGCATCTCATTTGCATCATGTTCCCTCGATTGATCCTTGAGTTTTCAAGTTTATCAGCTTAGGCTTTAGATCCTACACCTTAAGAAGGATCGTTTTCTCTTTTATCTTTTAACTTAGACAAAACCCATAATACAATTCAATCATCTATTCTCCCCACAAGAGAATTAGACGTGAGTCATCTTTACAGTCAAGATATAATTCTCCTGCCCTATAACACAATCAAGAGATGTAGAATCTTTTCCGCTTGAGAGAGGTATGTGGCATACTCGTCAAAAAATCCGAGTTTTGAGTCCTTCTCTCAATGCGATGCAAAGACCATCTCCTACAAGTTGTGGTGGTCAAGTTGAGTGTTCTCCCTTAAGATGACGACTTGTCTTTTCTCCTAGACTTAATCAAAAAATATTATCCCCCTAGAACCTTGGCCATAGTTAAGAAGTTCCTCATTCCCTTTTAGGGGAACTACGAATGCTCTGATTCCACTCCCGTCAGGATACGTAGGCACAAGATGCGATTTCTTGGCGAGTATACTTAGAAATAAACCACTAGGTATTTCACCCTTAGCAACAATAGACAATAAAATAAGAGGTTCCTGTAGAGTACTACAGATTCTTAGGATGCTAATACCTTCCCTAAGTTTAACCAACCCCCGAACCTTAGATTCTCTAGCTTTGCATTTGCATTGCATCTTGTAGGTAATTCGATCTTTTTCCCTTCTCTTAGACAAATTAAAGACCGGTGGTGAACAATGAATTAAGATTCAAGTTAATTAATACCTTGATATCCAATTCTCACCGCCATAGAAATGGCAACTTCAATGGGGAAGTTTGGTGAAGTTTATTGTAGTTGATCTCTCTTTATTTGAGAAGACGATCTTACCAAATCAACTGGCCTGCATCTCTTCTGAAGATCCCCGGTGAATAGGTCTGGAAATGAGTCGAGTCGAGTCAAACTCACCTCAGCTCGGCTCAACTTGTTAAGAATTGTTCGAGTTCGAGTTCGAGTTCGACACGAACTTTTTTTTAAGCTCAAACTCGACTCGTTATAAGTTCACGAACAGTTCGGTTCAACTCGTTAGGTTCATCTCATTAGGTTCAGCTCACACGATTCACGGACTTAAAAACTATTTTTTAAAATATATATATATATATATATATATATATATATATATATATATATATATATATATATATATATATATATATATATATATATATATATATATATATATATATATATATATATATATATATATATATATATATATATATATATATATATATATATATATATATATATATATATATATATATATATATATATTGTAGTATATTTTACATTTTAAATAAATATATTTTTTTAAAATAAAATATTAAAATAAAATAAAATTTATCATATTGAAATTTAACTTTATCTTCGAAATCTACTAATTCAAAACCTACACAACTTTCAAGAGATACATTTGAGAATCTAATTCAAAAACTACTAAATTGAATATTAAATTTGTCTAAGATTTGGAGTAAATATTTAAACCTAATCTTAAAGACAGTATAATTCTTCTCATATGTAATCGAGTTGACTCATGAACCTAACGAGTCGAACTATGTATAGTTCAAGTTCAGCTCATTTAGTTAACGAACTTAATTTTTCGCTCATACTCAACTCATTTGGTTCATGAACTTAGTTCAACGATTTAATTGTCGAATCGAATTCCGAACTATTTTCGAGTTGGTTCGGTTCATTGTCAGCCCTACCGGTGAAGTTTTATAACCTCCAGTAAATTATGGATTAACCGTTGAAGCCTTTAATCTCCAGTGAAATTCCAATTCCCTGTGAAAATGCTCTCTTAAGTATTCATCGTTCCAGGAAGAAACTGAGACCCGTTCTTGGCATACAACCTTGAAGCGTGGGGAGGTTTATTTTACCCTTTTCAAGTGGAATACTTGATTAAGGAAGAAACTGAATTATGTCTTGATCAAGAAAATTCATTTTGGTTATTACCTCTGCTTAGGCTATCATACGTTTGATAGTAGGTAATATAACGTATCATTTTGGTTATTACCTTTGCTTAGGCTATCATACGTTTGATAGTAGGTAATAAACCATATCATTTTGGTTATCACCTTTGCTTAGGCTATCATACATTTGATAGTAGGTAATATACCGTATTTTTTGGACATATACCTTTTTTAGGCTACCAGGATTGGTAGTAGGTAATCTTTCCTTCATATAACCTTTGCTTAGGCTATCAAATGATTGATAGTAGGTAATATGAGTTTCTTTGTTTCAACTGGATGCCTTTGCTTAGGCTACCACACATTGGTAGTTATCCTTCAATTTCAAGTTTCTTGCCCGTTGTTTAAACTATTACATTCCTAATGATGAAGTACGATGCATCTTCATTTTTGATGGAGATACCATACGTTTAAGCTACCCGTTGGGGTTCGTTTATCTCTTGTCCTGGCAAATCTCGGAAGTAGATTTCCAGAAGACCTCAGCAGTAGGTATCTCTTTTCATTTCCTGACAAGTCTCGGCAGTAGATTTCCAAAAGACTTTGACGGAAGTATATCTCCAGCAGACTTCAAACATAGAATCTCGGCAGTAGATTCCCTAAAAGTATTAACAGTAGACACTTTGGCAAAAGTGTTCTCCAAATAAGTTATAAGTCTCAACAGTAGACTCCTCCAGCTAGTATCTCTTGGAATCATTACATATGTCCTATACAGTAGGTTCTTCAAGTGGATTTTCTCACAAAGTTCTCTATGATATGTTTAAAGATAACTTGTGATGGTCAATCGTAATCTTTCCCCAGTGGAGGTCGTCTTGTCGATGCCATCTCCATTGAGGATCTCTTATTGCTTTTTTTCTAAAGTGACAACTAGTCATGCCTGAACCTGTTGGTCCATCACTTTATATTTCCCCAGTGCGTTGTCATCCCCAATCAGTGGTTACTCATTGTGTTTGTTCTTATCTCAGTTTGTTTTCTTTTTCGTCTGCATTTTTGCATTTATCATCCCATTATTTTGCATCATATTAGAGTTCATAGCATTGTCAGATTTGTAGTTTAATTTCGTTTGTCCATTAGCATTGCATATCACTGCATCAAAGGGCAAAATTTTTCGATTATCTGTATTTAAATACCTTGCACCATGATTTCGCGAAGTTCTTCGTCGCTCATCATCCGATGAAGATATTTAAATAGGAGAAATTGTCGTACCCCAAATTTTACCCTTAGATTCATTGATAGTTAGCATACCATTTTAGATCAAACATTCACGCATAGCTAACCGTTTTATATTTTTGTTTGTTTTATAAAATTAGGTCCACTACAGAAGATTCAGAAAGCCATGAAGGCTTGTTATTCATCAGAGATTTTCCTAAGGAAGATCCGGATTTTGTGTCTTGTGGATTCAAGGATTGGTTAGAACCTTGTGGGGGTTGATTTGTCCTGCTGTAGAGTAGTATGCCTTTAAGTGGTGAAGTTTGGGTACACATCTTGAAATGTGGTTTTAGCAAGGAACTTTTAAAACGAAGTTCAGGATTACGTTCCTTACAAAAAAATTCAATATTGGTTCACTATTTTGCTACAAGATAAAAGCCAAGACGTTGAGTTAAATGGATGGAATTGTAAGACTTGAAATACAAAAATTTCACAAATTACAGTATTGAAAAATTCAGATAACAAAGTTCATGACAAATCCAAAGTTAAGTTCATAAGTGAACAAAAGGTGGATATTTTTCTAAATGCCCAAGAGTTGCTTACAAACCAAGTCCAAAGTTACAGGTTTAATCCTAAATTTAATGCAAGACATATAAGAGTTTATTTTCAAATTCTCTTTTGGTGTCAAAGATTTTGGACTTATGTGATTAAGGTTCAACCACAAAATTCAAGAAGTAAAGGCATCCAAATTCAAGTACAAAGTACCATTGGTCATGAGTTTGTCCAAATACAACGCAAGGTGGGTATAGTTACATTTTCTATTAAGGATTGAAGAAAAAGAAAAGGAAGCAGTAGGGGAAAAACACCCCATGCCCCACGCCTCTTGGTATCTAGAAGTTACTTTTCTGTTTAGGAAGCTGAATCAATTCTTGGTTAAAGCCTAAATCACTTTTACGGTGGGACTTCATGATAATTGTGCTTTAGCACCTCTTCAGGCAGCCAAACCGCGGAACCCGTCGAAAGTTTCAAGAAAGCACTATCTAGCTAAAATCCAAACAAAAACATTCAAATTAAGTCAATTTGTGAGTTCAAGTGTAAAATTTCATTTCTACAATACTTACAAGACGGATTCAAGATTTTCAACTATAAAAAACATTCAATATATTCCCTTCTAAACTACACTTGATACAAGAGGAGTACCTACAAATTAATGTTTTTTACAAATCAACAAATTACTCATGGCTAGGCCGATGCCCTAGAGTTTAAAATGCTAGCTGCCAATTTCGGCGTTTTTTGCAAATTTCTCTGCAAGAGCTTTCTTAAAAGCTTCACGACCTTACAACGAGACCTGCTTACACGGCAACAGGTGAATGTGTATGCTACAGGGAAGAGTGTTCTAAAAAGATAGAGGTAAATTCTGCAATAAAACTTCAAGTTTTCTTGCAGTATAAGATTTAATTGAAGTTTAATTGTCAAAAAAATCAAGGTTAAATATATTAAGATGTGCACCTGGGAAAATACGGAGGAGACACAGGTGAGGTCGAGGATCGTTCTGTATTGACGTTTAGCATGCAAAATCCTGACTGCATTAGAAGACCCGTTTGCGTCTGAATCTTTAGTCTCCATCCAGTTTTCTACAAACGTTGTCGAACGCAACATACACCTACAAAACACATGAGTGTCTCTCCATCAAATTTCCACAAAGATTTATGCTAGAAGTAACGTTTTGGAATTAGTTGGTCACCCTAAATGGAGAGAGGGTGTTGCGATTTCTCAGCAGCTCCGAAACCATAATTGTACCAATCCAACGGGAGCCGTGACCTCAGACATAACTGCACCAAAATCACAAAGAATCATTTTCATTTAAGGAAGGGATATCAACATTCAAAACATACCAAATATGATGAACTAAAATGGAAAGAGTGAAAACAAGGATCAAACATGTCAGGTCGGAAATGGAAAATAAGGAATATTAAATTTCAGCTGATGAAATTCATTCAATATCATCAATTTGTTTGTCATGCTTTGATCTTATAAAAGGGGCCCTAAACACAGAACAAATTGACGAAGACAGACGAAAACCCTAAAATGAACTCACAAAAAAACCATAGAGAAATCAATATTCACAAACACAGAGCAAGATTCAAAGCAAAACATTCGCAAACCCTAACAACCCAAAACCCAGAAATCGTCGAAACCCTAAACTCACGAAAAAGGAAAAAGTTGAGAAACTTATCTCTGTTAGTCGGATTGTTGAATCACACTCCCATTGTCGTCACCGCCGCATCAACCTCACCGCTGGCCATCCATCGTGAAATCTGCAAGAACCCATTTTTACCATAAGTTATTTTGTTGACGTTAATAACTGATGACTTGCTGTTGTTTGTTTATTTTGATATAGGAGAAAACAGAGATGAGACAGAAACAGAAATAAGAAGAAAGGAAAGTGAGGAAGGCGAGCGAGATAAGAAAGACAGCAAGAAGAGACGGTGAGAAGAAGTGGGAAGCGAAGAAGAAGAAGAACAAATTCGAGAGAGTGAAAGGAGAGAAGAAAAGAGTCGTTGAGAGAGAGAAGGGAGAAGCAAGATAAGGGCGCCGTTTTGGAGATTAGGGTTTCGAAACCCCAGTCACTCCCCCTTTCATTCGTTTTGTGGCCGGGTCTGTTGGGTCCGGTGGGTTCACCACCACCGGCCCAACCCATTTTTGTGTTTTTTTTTGTTTTTGTTTTTTTAGTTTTTTTTAATATAATATAATAAAAATAATAAAAAAAACTAAAAATAATAATAATAACCAGAAAAATATAAAAAATATAGAATAAATAGAAAAATAGTTTTAGAATTTAATTTGATTGTTAATTCAAAATAATAATAAAAACCACAAAAAATCTATGTATAATAAACAAAACATTTTTAATCTACTTATTGTTTAATTAATAATTTTCTTTTTAATTTAATTAATTGAAATAATTTAACTAATTGAAATGATTTAGAACATTTTAGAATTTAATTATTTAGAAACTATTTTTACTAATTAATCTTTATTTAATTTCCACTTAATCTAAGTTTTAAACAAAAACAACAAAAACAAGTTTAGAATTTCTCTTTAAGACAATTTACCATTCATTTCCAAATTAATCACAAATCCATTAATCTGAATCTAACTGTTTCTCGATAGTCATTCGAACTCAACCTGCGTGACTTCGCTCCGTTTGCTTAATATTATTATTTTATGCACGTCCAAGGGAAGAACTTGCGCATGACTTCATAAGTTGTGTGTATTGCATCTCATTTGCATCATATTTTTCCCGCTTGATCCTTGAGTTTTCAACTTGATCAGCCTAGGCATTAGCCCCTACACCTTAAGATAGGACCAATTTCTCTTTTATCTTTCAACTTAGATAAACCAACTTAATACAATTCAATCATCTATTCTCCCCACAAGAGAATTAGACGTGAGTCATCTTGACAGTTGAGATATAATCCTCCTGCCCCATAACACAATCGAGAGATGTAGAGTCTTTTCTGCTTGAGAGAGGTATGTGGCATACTCGTTGATGAAATCCGAGTTTTGAGCCCTTCTCTCAATGCGACACAAAGACCATCTCCTACAAGTTATGGTGGTTAAGTCGAGTGATCTCCCTTAAGATGACAACTCGTCTTTTCTCCTAGAATCAATCAACAAAACATTTCCCCTGGAACTTTGACCAACAGTTAATGATTCCTCAATCCCTTTTAGGGGAACTACGAATACTCTGATTCCATTCCTGTCAGGATACGTAGGCACAAGATGCAATTTCTTGGCGAGTATACATAGAAATAAACCCCTAGGTATTTCACCCTTAGCAGACAATAATAGGACATAAAACAAGAGGTTCATGTAGAGTACTACAGATTCTTAGGATGCTAGCACCTTCCCTAAGTTTAACCAACTCTAAACCTTAGATTCTCTAGCTTTGCATTTGCATTGCATCTTGTGGGTAATTCGATCTTTTTCCCTTCTCGTGGGTAAATTAAAGTCGATGGTGAATAATGAATTAAGATTCAAGATAATTAATAATTTGATATCCAATTCTCACCGCGACAGCACCTTTAAGGACTGATTTTATATTGTGAAGCCCGTGTCGCACGCGGCCGTTGTCTACCTGTACGACCTTGTGGTCACAGAGGAGAACGAGGAGCATGAGGAGACATTGATGTTAAAGTTTCCGCTCGAGTGGGTCGAGGACCACTTCAACTAGGGCACAGACAGTTATATCATGAAGCATGTCGACTTGGATGCCGACGATCGACTATCTTACCAAAAGATAGTCAATTTTATCTTCGGCTTCCCTGGCGCCGAATGCGTCTACAAGGATGGGAGTTTCATCCTCGACGAGCGCGGGGAGGTTTGTTGCGAGGCTTTATTGATTAATACTAAGGCTCTCCTCGAGTGCGGGTCTCGTAAGGAGACCTTGAGGTTTTTAGGTAATGACTCTTTTCTTTGTCGGGGCGCCTGCCTTTTTCCCTTTTGGACTAACTTAATTTTCTTTGTTCCTTGTTGCAGGACAGATGTCGAACGCACAGGAATGCATACTAAAGTTCACGGAGACCAAGGGTGGGAAGAAGGCCAAAGGTAGAGTCTCTCAAGTCTAGCAAATGATGAGGCCCAACTAAGGAGCTGGTGGTTCTTCCTCCCCTCAATGCAGCCAGTTTCCCCCCATGCAGGAGACTTCCTCCAAAAGGCAGCGCACTGAGGAACCAGTGCTTTTCGACCTCGAGAAGAGCGCACATGTGGAGAAGTTTGCGCTACCCCCTTGCCACACCCAACGAGACTTCTTCTCCGGGGACCACTCCCCAACGGTGGCTAAGGCTGAAACCAAGGCGATCATGGGGATTGATCGAGTGGCCCGAAGGAAAATATTGACCGAGGATATGACCACCATGATGAGGATCTTTGAGACGGCCCTGGTCCTTAATGATGAAACCAGCCCGACCTCCGAGATGAAAAAGATGTGAGATAAGAATGCCATCCTTGAGGTACAAAAATCATGTGCGCCTTATCCATGAGATGAACGAAATGAGGGAAGAGCTAAAGGAGACCAAGAAGGAGCGAGCTAATCTGGTGTCGAAGATCTGAGAACTCGAGCAGGATTGTTTAGGGCTCTCGAGGTGAGCTTTAATTATGCTGAGGAACAGCTTCAGGCCGTGAACCCTGGCGTCTAGCTCATCACCGAGGGGACAGACCCTTATCATCAGGTGGTCCAGGGTCGTGTGGTCGCACCTGAAGCCAAAGAAGAAGATTACAGTTAAGCTGCGGTGGGCGACCAACCTGAGGAGAATGCAGTTGCCTAATGTTGTTTCGTTGTACTTCTTTTTTTGGCTTGCGCGCCATATTTTGATGTAATTGTCTTTGTCCTGCATGCCGTATTTTATAACATTGAATAATGGGCTCTTCCCGCCTTTAGAAATGTAGTATTTCACTTTTATGTTGTGTGTGTCTTATTTTTATTGTTTTTCATGTATGTATGAAATAATGTCGTTGTTTATTTGTTATCGGGGTTTAGCTCGACACATGTTGTAACTGACCATGCAGGGAACTGGTTGGGTGATAAGAGTTGGTACTCGATCGACAAGGAGCTAAGACCTCGGTCGAGGTCTTTGCTCCACGCGTGAACTTCCTTTTCACGAGTTGTATGTTCTGCCTGATTGGTACGACATTGGTGGATCTCGGTAGAGGGGTCTCCAATGGATCAAAAGTCTGCTCGCACACACAAAGGGAAGACTCTTGTCTTTTTGTTTTGAATTTAGGAGTCACGCCTGTACCCTATCGCGCCCCTGTGGTTGCAACGCTAGTAGGTTGCAGGAAGTGTCTAATTGTAGTATTATTTGAGCTTTTCAGTGTTCAATGGTCGAGAAAGTTCTTCCCCGTGTAGGTTTTCGAGGTAATAGGCTTCATTGCCCATTTTGTCTCGGACTCAGGAGGGGCCTTCCCAGTTCGCGGCGAGTTTTCCCTTGGGCGATCCTTCTTATTCCTTCGTATGACCAGGATGCCCACCTGGAACTCGGGCTTGATGACTTTGGTGTCATGCCTCAAAGTTATCTTTTGTTTCAGCGAGGCTTCACGGAGAGATGCCCCCGATCAAATTTCCTCAACTAGTTCGAGTTCCTCCCTCAAGGCCTCGTCGTTTGCTTCTTCGTCGAGGAGAGATTCGGTTCTCCTGGAGGATTCCTTTATTTCTACCAAAATTACTGCCTCGATTATGTAGGTTAATCAGAATAGGGTCTCCTTGGTTGTCGAGTGCGGGGTCGTCCTGTAGGCTCAGAGCATGTTGTGTAGCTCTTCGAATCACCTCTTCTTAGTGTCTCCCATTCTTTGTTTCAGGCCACGTGGAATCACTCAGTTCGCGGCTTCGACCTGCCCTGTTCGTCTGCAGGTGCTTGATTGATATGAAGTGTTGCTTTGTGCACAACTTGACAACAAAGTCCTGGAAGTTCTTGTCAGTGAATTAAGTCTTGTTATTGGTGTCGGTGGCTTGGGGTACGCCGAACCGGGTAAGTATATTCCTTTTGCAGAAACGAAGTATGTTTTGAGTCGTGATTTTGGCTAAGGCTTCAGCCTCTATCCACTAAGTGAAGTAATCGACACCGACTATCAAATACTTGTTTTGGTATGATCCTATAGTAAAGGGTCGGGGGATGCCCATCCCCCACCAGGAAAACAGCCATGGAGACGAGAGTGTTTTGAGCTCGTTAGGCGGGGCCAGGTGCATGTCTCCGTGTCGTTGGCATTTTTTTGCACTTTTTGACATGCTCT